GTCCAAACCAGACAACCGTGAGGTTCAATCGCATGATATCCGAAGCAGGCCGTGGTCTGGACGAAGTCACTGCAAGTGACACTGTAGCCGTGACGGGGAAGAGGCAGCGGCTTCTACAATGGTTGGTGTTTTGCTTTCCTCCCTCAGTTGGTCACAGTGCGGAAAGCCCCCCCGCCCACAAAACCCCCTTGAGCGGAGTGGCGAAACTGGGGTCGTCGGGATGGCACCAAGTAACGGGGAAAACGGTTGACCGCGATGCATGCTCTTGAATCTTTTCAACAAAAGATCGTTTTCTTCGTCGTTTCTCCAAGCACCCCACCGTACCAGCACGGAGTCTGAAAGCGATGTCAACAAATGAAATGCCACAAGAAGGACCTGCGCGCAATCGCTTTGCGGGCTTTAAGCGAAGAAATACAAGCGTGTGGCAAGCCGGCGGCATCTTTGCGGTTCAACCTGAAGCGCTGCGGAGTTTTCAAATGTCAATTTTTTTGTTTTGGAAAAATGTCTTGCATGTTGAGTGTTGAGTTTGTGGTAGGCTTGCAGGTTTTGACAGTAAAACGAAATATGGTACACTCAGCGAGCACGACCAACTGTTTTCTTTCTTCTTCGCTTTGTTTGCCTTTTTCCTCAGTTTGGAAAGACGTTCGATTTTTTCTTGTTTGTTTGAAGCCCCTGCGCTGAGACGTCGCGGGTTTGAAACCTGGATAAAAGAGAGAGACCGTCCAAACAGTGGTCAGGATCTTGTGCTGTTGCTGTTGTTCGACATGCGTTGGAAGGCCCGTCACTTATGTTTTTACTATTGCGTTTACCTGTTACCACGGTGTGTAAGCCGATGGCCATTTCACCTTGTGCAGCTCTTTCAGTTTCGTGTTTTGGCGGCACCATTTGCAACTCAAAGAAGTAAAGATGACAGTTGGAGTTCACTCGAAACTGGCAGTGGCCAGCGGGACGCACTGATGTTGATTTTGTTCAGAAAACTGCTTAAAAAGGCAGCCCCGTCAACAACATGCAGTGCGAGCTCTTCGTAACAGTTCAAACAGCTCAAATTTCTTCATCCAAGCTCTCCTGAGATTGTTTTAGTTTTTTAACCATTTGTTTTTGGCTTGCTCGAAAAAGCAAACAGTAAAACTCGCCGTTCTCGACGGTGGTGACGACTTTCCGTATGAAAGTGGCAGCTCATGTCCGTAGTCGGAGGGAAATTCGTTCGTTGTTGCTGGGCAAGCGAATGCCCCACTTGTACGGCTGTCGACAATGCCTCCTTGGCACGGAGCTGGGTAGAAAATGATTGATGTGCTAGTACCGACTAAAGATCACTGTTAAGATCACCAGCGAAAGGTATTTTTCATCTGAGCACGTCGACGAGCTTTGTGGCTTATTAAGCGGCATTCATCCGACAGCATGTGCCGCAAGTTCGATGCAGTGGTCAGAAGAGAGAAACAGAAAGGGAAAGAGAGAGATAAAGAGAGAGACAGCGAGAGAGAACAGAACAAAAAGACAGATGGAGAGAGTGCCTTAGATGTGTGGATTCAAACTTTGGGTCATGACTCATGACTCTGGCCAACGCACAGCTAGCAAAACGCATACATGGCCGCTTTTCCACGCCGTTCGTCAGGACATCCTCAAGCAGCTCGTAGGTTGCTAAGCTGGAGCTTGCGAATGTTGCGGTACACTGTCCGCAATAAAGGGCTGTAAGGTTTAGGGTTCAAGCCCAGAACACCCAACGCTAGACTTAGAACCCCAAGGTGTAGGCATCATGTGACCATCTTTCTGGTCGGCAGGACATGGCGAATGCTGAAGAATGTTACCGACAGGGCCTCGAGAGTCGGCTCCTTATCTAGGGTCAAGGGCTAAGGGGCTTGAGGTTCGGCGCTTAGGGCTTTGCCAAGCTGGACTCTGCCTGCGGCCCGGCTAGTGCAGTTTCTTGTTATGGCAGGATGACGCAACGGTTGGTTGACTGTCAATCGTTGTGATGCCTCGATCGGCATGTTCAGGCTTACAAGCCCTGCACCAGAAGAAGCGCGGATGCTTCCCGGTGGAAGATCCTTTGCGATTGGAGGTGTCTTTGGGCTTTCCAGTGATGGACTTGGAAGCCTCGTCGGAGTGTGCAACCCGATCCCTGATCGTCAGTTAAATGATCACACTTTTCCGTGTTTATCTTGTTCAACCGTTGTCGGTGCGCGGAACACTGACACGATGTGCATTTTCCTATGAAAGGCTTAAGGCTTATGTCAAGGTTCCAGCTCAGCCACGCAGGGTTTGAGTTGAACTGGCGGGAGCGACATTCAAGAAGAGCTTACATAAGCTTCGTCGCAGCAACATCTTTAAGGCAGATGCTGTTGGCTGCTTGGCTTTTGATTTTGCTTGCTGACATGTAATGTATGCAGGCTGCCTGCTTGGCAGCTGGAGACTCGCTGGAAAAGCTCTCTGAATGGAGGCCTGCCGTTGTGCAGAATGCCTTTAAGGGCAACTATGCCCTGCCCATCTTGTGTTATGCCAGCAAGGGGCATGGCTATCATGTTCTGGGGTTCCATTGTACTGGCGGAAGCGGATCTATACTTGTCTCAATGCCAAGCCCGCATCCATCTCAGCAGGCGAGCCTGGGACATACTGCTTGGATTGATGAAGCACTTGGGTGGAGGCACGTTTCTGCATTCTCAGGAGCCGAGCATTCAGCATTGTGCACAAAATTGTGGCTAGAAAGGTGTAGGTCGGTGTCTTCCATGGAAGTCGCGGTTCTGCATCTCAATCTCTGTTCCCAGGCGAAGCCCGGAACTCAGCGTGCGCGTGAAACTTTCAAGTATGTTCTCTTGCCTTCTGACTTCACTACATTCGTCCTTCTGAGACCCTGAGCACTGAAGGACCCTAAATCCTAAACCCTAAACCCTAAACTCCTTAAAGCGCCTCAACGCCTGCATGCCTTCTCCGAACTGAACGGACCAAGGAAAGCAATACTTTGTCCGATGAGACCGCCGCAGCCTTAAGCTTCAGCGATGCGACTCCGCCCAGGTGGTTGGGCTTCAGAGTGTCATGTCGAGGTGTTGCTGTATCAGTAGTAATTGTCAGAGACGAAATCTGTAGTCCAAACAGCAACACGTGGTGATGACACTCTCAGATCCACTGTTGATCGCGTTGGCCTTGCTCCTAGGTTTTGCGGATGCATGTGTGGAGCTTGGTGAAGTTGCACTTGAAGAAGGTGTTGGACAAGAGCCTGCGATCCTTCAGCTGCACCGGCTTTTAATTTGTCGTGCTGTTCTAAGGCTCATGTCTGCATGAGATCAGCCAACCTGCTTGGACGGATAGTTTCAGGCACGCGCTAAAGGGTTTTACTTATCGTTAAGAGGGGCTGTCCATCTTCTGTCGGCGCTGATGGTGTTGTGAACAACTAGCTTGCTGAGTCTTTCGGACCAGACTCTTGTTCGTAGTCACTCTCCGTTTTTGCTTACTGAAATCTTCTTGCCATTCGCCTGCGGAAGATGATGTGTTTGGGCTGGGAGGCATCGCAGAAAATGACGTCACCGACCTCTGTGGCCATTTGCGCGCAGGTTGCTGGCTTTAAAGGCGTTCTTTTAATGCTATGGTTTATGCAGGTTCGAGTATCGACTTCTCGTGCCAACTTTGCGTCTGAATTTCTTGGCAACCCCACTGATTCAGTGACAGCGTTGATCGTCTACGCCGGCGCAGTCAGCCCAACAAGACTCAACAGCATGACATTCCCCCCTTCGATAAAGTCTAAAGCTGCTAAATGCAGAAGTGCTCTGGAGGTTTTGCGGGGAGACCTCACTCGTTGTGTGTGTGTGTGTGGTGCTCGTGGAATTCCTTTCCGAACATTCACAGGTTCGTCTCTCAGCAGCAAATTCCTAAATTCTAAACCGCAAGCCCAGGCTTGAGAAACTCTTTGGCAATCGCTTCTACAAACTCCCGGAAGCACCTGCCGACTGCACGGAAGCTCATTGCACGCGCCCAAGTTGATGGGTCCTTGTAGCCAGAGTCTGCATTTCGACAGTGACGGGCTTTTTGGCAGAAAGGTATCCTCATCCAGAGAACTGTCCATCTGTTGATCATTCATCTGAATGCTTGAGGTTTGGCATTTGCCCGAATCACTGTTGATGCAAAGCATCAGGGACTCATGTGTCGTACGTTAAGTGACCATGTGACTTCCACCCAGAATCCCGGCCATCAGAGAATATCAAATACAAACAAGGGGGGAATATCCCTTTGTAGTCCCCAAGAAAGTTTAGCAGTGAGAGAAAGGAATACGTCTGTCACTCCGGGATAGATGCGAAGTACAGGAGTGGCTGGTGCACGTCGCCATCTCGCAGACCGCCGGCACATCTCCGAACATGGCCTGGGCCCGTGCCAGAGGGTTTAGGGCTTAGGGTTTTAAGGTTCAGGGTTTGGGGTTTAGGGTTTAGAGGGCTGATTATTGCCAATCAACGCTTCTTGGAGTTGTTCTTTCTGTAGCCTGGTCTTTGCTGCCATGGAATGACCTTAAGCGATGATGATTGGTTCTGGCTGTCTGGTATTCAATCGTCTTCAGACTGAAGCATGTCAAAAATGGACACCATCCCGGAAGCTTGAGGATCATGAATTGGTTTGCTAAGCCCTTCGGTTACAGTTGAGAAAAGTGTCACTGCAGCAACAGTCGCACTAACTTCGGCATCTTCGTCAGGTTTCTAGTGGGAAAGATTCCCTAAAAAACAGCTCGAGTGAACGGTTTCTGCGACCTTCTCAGCCAGCTTGAGGCGTTGCAGTGCTGGCGGCAAGCCCAACGTGCGTTCAGCGAAGGGGTCAGCACTGAGAAGGTGCAGTCTGCCACTCCCAGCCCTTGTGTAAGTTGAGCGGCATAACTGAAGACACAGCCCCTAAACCCTAAACCCTAAACCCATGATATAATTATTAAACCTTGCAAAATGAGGCGGGGTACTTGTGGCGTGTTGTGTCGGAGCTCAGCCCGGCAGCTTCGGAAGGTCCTGGGAGCTTTGAGCCACGGGCGGAGGCCCATGGAGCAGCTACAGCTCCTTCAGTCGGTTACCCAACTGGCCAGGCCAGGGCCATGAGCACATGGGAAGGACTTGGGAGTTTCCGGACATTTGGGGGGGTACCTTATTTTTGGGGTCCTTTTAGAAGAAGGATCCTACTATTTAGGGGTACTATATCAGGGTCCCCTATTTTCGGAAACCCCCATGTAGCCATGTAGACGACAAGATCGTTGCTGCAGACCGGTCATGTGTCCTGTGCCTTGCAGTTCTTCCACACTCAATCGGATCGAGATTCGGTATGCTTCTCGAGGCGGGGTCGGATCTCACCAAGCGTGGCCGAGCCGATCACAAGGGTGATCCAACTCTTGATGCAGCTGGTCCCACCACTCTGGTGCCATCTCTCTCTCCCTGACAAGGAGCCTAAACCCCAAAATCTAAAGGCGAGTTCTGGGCGAGTCTGTGTTCTTTGCTTAAGCTCTCTGATCCTTCTTTGTTTGTGGATGTTGAGGGAAAGGCTGATGGTGCTGATGCCACAGGTTCGTCGTTGCAGCAAAACATCGTCTCTGAGCCACTGTCTTACCAGGATGTTGAAGAAGAAGCCCGGTAGGTGTCTTTGATCTTACCTCCTCCCGGAAGGGTGGTACGGTTGATGGACAAAATCCTGCATGACCTTGAAAACCTAAACTACGGGATTTATGGTACTATACTTTATTTGGGTCATGCAGAATTTGTCCATCAACAGTAGCACCTTCTGTGCAAGCTTAGCGGGCCAAAGGCAGTTCTCCCTGACAAGGAGGCTGCATCCAGAGTTCTTGCATCCGCCCTGGAAGCGCTTACGCTGTGTCTGCCACCAAGCCCAGAGCAGAGCACCTTGACTCCAAACCGGCCTGAAATTCAGACTTTTCCGGAGACTTTCAGAACTCTCACTCTCAATTGCAGAGCGTATTGTGGAACGTTTCAAGTTGCTGGAAAGGCGCGTTGGCTGCTCGTCTTCTTGATCTGATCGCGGGCTCAGCACCAGGTAGCATGAATGCGACCGTGTCCGAGGCATCTCATCTTTGGACTGGGCTGATGCGTTCATGGAGCAGCTGACTGGAAGCGCAGGCACCAGTGAAATGACTCGTAAGGAAGCCTTTCAACAACTTGCGACGATGAAGCTGCATATTGCACTGCATATCCCCAGCCAAAAATGAGATCAGACTGTACCGCGTGGCTATGCTGCGTCTGTTGGTGGCTGTGGCTCGCATCATGTGCATGTCCTAAAAATGTCTCGGTAGCATTTGTCCCGTTCCTGTCAGGCGAGTTGAACCGGGGAGACACATCACTTCCATCGTTGCAGATGCTCTTCTCGGTGGTTTTGCGAGCACGTCTTCAGCAAAGCGAGGCCAGACTCGTCCTTCGCACGATATTCAGCAGGCATGCCACTAAAAGGCGCATTTTCTGCGACCCCCTGATGCTAGGAGTTTCGCAAAGCCGATCCGCAGCTGCTGATGATGCAGCGGTCGGACCTCTTTGCGCTCGTTTTGCACGGGCAGTCGCTGCAAGAATTCACAGAGCTTTCCGGCGATGCAAGCTCCTTGCCCGAAGCTATAATCTCTTCGTGCTCGTAGGTACATGTCATTTTTTGGTGTGTATTTGTACATGCTTTACATGTAACTTAATGGTGTATATATATATATATATATGTATATCTGTGTATACATGTGTCTTGATCAGCTTTTCACATCAGCTTGCAATATCAGTATAGTTTCCAACATCCTCCGGAGTGGCAGTGTGTAAGTATTGATTGTGATTCTCAGTTTCCTCAGCATCCTCGTCATCTTCGTCGTCATCAACGTCGTCATCAACGTCATCATCATCATCATCATCATCATAATCATCCTCATGACCATTATCGGTATAAAGACATACCCAAAACTCTAAACCTATCTATATACACATTTGCATATACGTGTGAAGACTCCGGCTTTGAAGCAAGGAAATCAGCTCATGGCTAAACCTGTAGGCAGAAACGAAATACACATAAACCAACTAGGGAAATCATAAGACGATTAGGCTTAGGAAGTGGTGGACAGTCATTGTTGCAGTGCCGATTTGGCAGAAGGATTGAAACCAGGCCGCAGGTTCAGAGCAGCCCCAAAAAACCCGAAATCCAAAAACAACCCTAAACCCTAAACCCTAAACCCTAAACCCTAAACCCTAAACCCTAAACCCGGGCCCCCCTGGAAACACCACGCAGCATTGAACCATCGACCTGGTGCACATGGGGATTTCCGAAAATAGGGGACCCTAATATAGTACCCTAAATAATGGGATCCTTATTATAAGGACCCCCCAAATAAGGTATCCCTTATTTTCGGAAAGTCCCACATGAAGGCAGGAAGTTGCAGTCCAGCTGTAACAGGCCACAAAGTTGCAGCACTGGCTGCTCAAGGATCCCGTGCATATGTATGTATGCACACATGCATACACACACACATACATACCGACGGACAGACAGACAGACAGACAGACAGACAGAGACAGAGACAGAGACAGAGACAGACAGACAGACAGACAGACAGACAGACAGACATGAATATACGTATGATTCAGTACCAGTGTGCAGTTGTGGTGTTTTCCAACATGTTGTCATGGTTGATGATGGTAAGTTGAATGTTGACACAGTGGTGTTTGAATCGACAGTCTTACGCTTTTTGGACATTTGCTTGAGACGTTTTGATCCGCAGCATTCTTCGAAGCAATGTATGCAACAGGATGCAGTGTATTTGTCGGTAGCTCTCAGCCGACTGTCGAGGCCTTGTGGCAGCGGCCTCACCGGGGATTCCCAAGAGTGACCACTGCAGCACGTGGCTGCGCTTAGCCGGCCTTGAAGGCACCGCAGCGCAGACCCTTCCTGGCTTCTGCCGTTACAGCGTGCAGGCGGTGGAGGCACTGCGCCTGCAGCTTCCGAGAGGCCTTGCCGCGGCGCTGCTCTGCCTTCGACAGCTGCGGCTACACCATGCCGTGCTCGCGAAGGACCGGGAGCCCGTCACCAAGGCTCAGGAAGGCTGGCACCTTGCGCACTGCGCATCCTTCGCTCGCCTCACCGTTGCCCAGAGCTCTGAGCCGGACTTTGCGGCTGCCCTGAGCAAAAGCGGCGCCAGTAGGAGGATTCCTGCACTGGCCGTGGTGGTGCAGCTGGAGCGGTGCATCCAGTCGCAGGGAGAGGAAGCCGAGACCTTGCTGGAAGTGGGCAGGCTGCGTCTGCTGCAGGCTCAAGCCTCACAGCAAGGGGCGATCACAGACGACCAGGGTGACCACGAGGTGCGGCTTTGGGCTCAGATTCACCCCCAAGCTGGAAGCCGACGAAGTCTTTGAGGTATATTCCTTCATAATTTGAGGTATCTTCCTTCAAAAGCAGGGGGGCCTTGGGACCTCCGCGGGAGCCCTTCAGGAGCCCAGGCGCTTCGTGGCCTTAGCCCTCTTGGCCTGGCAGAGAGCTCTGGCCGTGGATTCCGGAGTTCTGGCAGCCAGGTCTCTCGAGGGTTTCGGGTTGGGGGGTTCAGGGTTTAGGGTTTCGGGTTTGGAGTTCGGGGTTGAGGGTTTGGGGTTTAGGGTTTGTCGTTCGGGGATTCGGGGGTGGGTTTAGGGTTTGGGGTTGAGGGTTTGGGGTTGAGGGTTTAGGGTTTGGGGGGTTAAGGGTTTCGGGTTGGGGTTTAGGGTTGCGGGCTAAGGGTTAAGAGTTCAGGGCTCAGGGTTAAGGGTTTAGGGTTAAGAGTTTCGGGTTTAGGGTTTGGGGTTAAGGGTTAGGGTTGGGGTTAAGGGTTGCGGGTTAAGGGTTTGGGGTTAAGGGTTGGGGTTGGGGGTCTAGGGTTGCGGGTTGGGGTTAAGGGTTGAGGGTTTAGGGTTGAGGGTTGGGGTTAAGGGTTGCGGGTTTAGGGTTTACGGTTGAGGGTTGAGGGTTTCGGGTTGGGGGTTAGGGTTGAGGGTGAAGGGTTTACGGTTGAGGGTCTAGGGTTTCGGGTTGGGGTTAAGGGTTGAGGGTTTAGGGTTGACGGTTTGGCTGTTTAGGGTTAAGGGTTGCGGGTTTCGGGGGGTAGTTTCGAGTTACTACAAGGGTTTCTGGAAGAGTTATTATGAGGGTTGCTATAAGGCTAATAGGGGTGCGGGTTTGAGTGGTTTGTGTTCTATTTGGTTGAGGGCTTTGGGTTTAGGCCTTGGCCTATTTTGGGTTCAGTGAGGACCCGGGAGACTAGGAGCTCTGATCTCGTCTCTGCTGGCTTTGGCGTTTGGCGCTTAGTTTGGGGTTTAGTTTGGGGTTTAGAGTTTGGTTTCCAGGGTTGCATCTTTCGGGGCTCGGGATCTTGGGTTCAGGGAGAGGGGGGGGGATAACCAAGTGTTGTGGCCGGTGCATCTACGACGGGGAAACCGGCCTGATGGACAGGACCCCTGCAGGGGTAGCGGATGCGCTGCAGGCCGTGACAGCTACTTCCTTTGCAGGCGACGGGCACGAGAAGGGCCTTTGGCTTCTTGGGAATTTCGGGATGTGCGTTTGTGCCTCCGGGGCTTAGATCGTCTGCCCCAAGATGCAGCTGATCGCTTGACGCATATCCACTTCGCGGCAGCATCTTATTCTGGAGTGTCTGCCAAGGGAAGGAAGGAGGTAGCCGAAACGAATGTATACCAGCTAAGTGCCGGACCCCACGCCTTACCGTCCAGATTTGACCGTGCACCTGCTCCTAAGCTGACCGGTTCCACGAAGGATTTTGCCGAGACTTAGGGTGTGGCGTCAGTGGTTGTCCAACAGGCGGCTCGCACGCCGTCCTGCTGCTGCGCGATGCCTCTGATGCAGCTCATCTCCTGGAGGGTATGGACCGCAACCGAGCCACAACCGCCCTGTTGACCTCATTGCCTGATCCCTGAACCGTAAAAACCCGAGACGAAAATCGCCGCCATCATGCAGGACCTTGATCACCTGGCTTTCCGTGCTCTTGCCGGGCTCTATGCATGAAGCAGGGGTGCGTTCTGACCCCTTAGATCAGCGATGCAGCGATCATGACAAGTGAGATGACAATGTATGATAGCTTTGACAGTGGATGCAAAGAAGGTCGCAATCAGAATGAAGAGAAGCCGCATGGTGGTCATACTGACTTTGTTGTTGGCGAGAATGGAAGTTAGGCCCAGTTAGGCTGCATGTTGTTGAGTACTACATCATCGGTGTCGTCATCATGTTTGCCAAAACGACAGTACTTTCCGATAGGAGTTTTTGCACCGTGGATGCACGCAGGTTTACAAATGGTAATGTAGCGGCCTGTGTCAACTCCTCCTACGATGCATGTGTGGTTCTTGATGCTGGGAAACCCAGTTCTACTTCTTGTTGCCCCTATATTTGACGAGCCGGCTCCAGGTTTCTGGTGCCCGGCCTAAACCCCGAAGTGGTATGGGATGATTTACATGAGGGCATGGCGACCCTGCCCGATGATGTGAAACGCAAAGGGTGCTTCATGCCTGAGCGCAACTTCTGAGCTTAAAGGGTCGTAAAAGATGTATTTGGCCAGGGTTTCTGCAATCCGGCGTTGCCAAAGAAATATGCATAGACAAAAAGACTAAGAAAACACATACACAAACAAACTCATTTTATGCATACACGCATGATTATGTACACATGCACATCCGGGAATCTTTTTCCAAATGGATATGGTCCATGTGTGTATGTATGTATGTATGTATGTATGTATGTATGTATGTATGTATGTATGTGGGTGTGCATATACATATCTATACACACATGCACCTTTGTCTGTCAGAGTGTGCGCATAAACAGCTTGCTTCAGGTCCTGTGTTTGGCTTGTCTGCACCGACGTCATGGATCAGCTGCGCTCTGGTGGCGGTCGGCCCCTCAGTGGGTTCAGTGTCATTGCTTCAAAAATGATGACCTAAGCTGTGAAGCTGCTAAATCCTGTAGTCGCTTTGAGCACGCAGGCCGGAAGCTATGGAGGTGTCCGAGAAGGTGCACTCTTGCATGCAGGCGCCAGATGTGCTGCCTCTGCGGTTTAGAGTACTTTAGAGTCTAAAGTTGTGCTGCGACTGTTGTGATTCGGTTTTTTGAAGCCCAGGAAGGCTTTGTGTGTCTCTGCTTCTGCTTAAGGCTTCAAGCATTTTGCAGCACCTATCAAGATTGTTTCGAGTAGGGCACAGTTGCTATGTTCTAGTAATAATCGTGCTTGACACGTTCTTCACACAATGCTGTCGTTGTCGTCGTCGCAGTGTATCTCGTTACTTGTTGAGGGGCGCGGGCAGCTCGTGTAAGAAGTCGGTACCGGACCCGTGCTTCCCACAAGCAAGCTGAGCCGGAACGGTGAACCCAAAGGCCCTTAGGCCGAAGTCCAGGAAGACCTTGCCGAATCTCGAAGCCCGTGCCCGAGGCTTCCGTCGTCCTCCTGTACCGCATGGCCGGTGCCATGGGTCGCCTTGCGTCGACTCCAAAGGCGGACGCAGAGGCACGCTCCGACGGGCCGCCAAGCTCCGAAGCGCGGAAGCTTCAGGGACATCCCTTCAAGGGGACTCGTTCACAAAGCAGCGGTAAGCTGCCAGGCCGGAAGGAGACAAGTCCGCCCGAGCACCTCAGCCAAAGCATGAAGCGCGGACCTTCGTATGTCTCCAGGCGCGTGCCGCCGCTCTGGGCTGGTGGCAGTTGGCAGAGGCAGAGCTAAAGGATCTCCAGGTTTTTTCACAGTTTCCTTGGCCCTGGAACCCATCAAGGATCAACATCTTCGGCACGTTAGCCCTAAGCCCCAAATCCTCAACCCTGAACCCGGTACTTGTAAGTGTTGGAGCACTGAAGTCCGAGCTCAGATTTGTCAGATCGTGGGAGCCAAGCTGACGCAGTTCCCGTCTTGGTAGGAGATGCCATGACCAGTTGCAATCGTAGAGTTTATGTTTCGGATAGTACAATATGCGTATTCGTACTATGCGAAATATAACATACTCTGTATTACTTATTATATGACTTGTTTCGTCTTTGCAGAAGCGGGAGAAAGCGGGGCCTCCCAACCTGGCCACATTCACCTAAAGCGTCTGAAGCTTGCATCTCTTCTTGCTGCGTTGACTACCTTTCAGCGTTATTACCATCGAACGTCTTCCACCAGTGCACGTATTGGTCTTTGCCGCCACATTCGTATTGTCTGTTTCATGATCGTACTCTTTGCATGGCTCTCGTGGTTGTCATTGCCACCATCTTCAGTGCTATCAAGATTCTGACTCCTGTTGCTTTAGGACTTAGGCATAGACCCTAAACCCTAATCCCTAAACCCTAAACTCTGCAGTGCACCGAGCATGAGGCTGCTGGAAAGCGAATACCGGATGGGCAGGCCCGGCCAACATTTCACGAAGGTTTCTGCCCGGTGGCGTCGGTTTGGGTGGAGGGGTCTCGGGCCTCGGGGTGCCGTGGTTTAGGTTGTGGGAGATTCCGGGTCGCCCACGGTTTCGGGATGTAGCCTGCGTCGGCGGCCCTCCCTGGAAGCGGAAATGAGGGCCTCTGCCTTTGTAACACCCTCGTGCCCCCAAGCCGTCTTGAGAGGTGTATTTACCCAGAAGCAGGCCACTATTTATCCTCGGCTGCAAGTCACATGTACCTGTGTGGGAGCACATGCTGAGGGCTCCCATATCGTTGCCCTTCAACGCCTGATCGCTGTCTCGACGATGTCCTGTTCCTAGTGGGGGCGAGGCCTTTGCTCTGCTTCTCGCGACTTGACTTCCCTCCCGAGGCCCGAGCAGTCTCCTGGGATCTGGGGCGAAGGCCCGGCACTGAACAGCAGGTCAAGGAGAATAATATAGGGGGCTTAATAATTAGAGTAGGGTATTGGGCCCATTATACTATAGTTATAATACGCAACCCCCCAAAATAGGACCCGTCCCAACAGCGCTCCGCTGTCCTCTTGACCTGATGCACTGCACTTGCGACAGAGCGGCCGATGTCAGTACCGGGTCTTGCAAGATGTCAGGTCCTTGCTCCACAGGGGAACAGTCTAGCAATTCGTCGAAGCCCAGTGTTGGCGAGTTTGGTTCATGGCTACACCACACCCAAGATTTGCAGCGACTGAAGAGCCAATTCACACGTTGCATTCCCCTACGCCTGGTGCTTATTTCGGAATGGGAAGCCCAGCCCTTGAAGCTCTCAGCCCTTAGACTCTCCGCCCTTGATCCTGATTTCCTTAGGCATCCGAGGCAAAATTCGCCCTACTTCTTTCCTGCTCCTCCTCTGCAGCATCCTCCTGCGGCTCCATCCACGTCCCTCCTACCAGATATGCTCACGAACCTGAGCGTGTTAAGTCGTCAGTAAGAGGCAATGGATAGACAAATGCATCAACAAATATCCGGAGGTGGTGCCTGGATCGATGTCCACACTTCCGCCAGGCTCAACTGTTCGCATTCGATGCAAGGTAAGGCCAGGGCTCGAAGGAGGCCGGTTGGGTTAGGGTCCACTGAGAGGGTTTAGGGTTTAGGGTTAAACCCTAAACCCTAAACCGTCGAAGTCGCCTTTGCACAGGGCGGCCGTGGCCTGCGTGGCTCGCGAAGAAGGCGGGCCTGAGGAGCTCAAGCCTCGAGCCTCGAGCTGCCCAGAGGGTTTCGGGTTTAGGGTTTAGGGCTAAGGGTTAAGGGTTTAGTGTTTAGGGTTGTGGGTTTAGGGTTTAGGGTTTAGGGTTGAAGGCATTTTGGATGCCAGGTGCGGTTCCGCAGAATTGGCTGCACGTGGTCGAGGCCCTCCGATGCGGATTGTGGCTTTGAGTACTTGGGCTTTGCGTGTGCCTCCAGGCCCTCTGGGCACTGGCCTCCTGCACAATGCACTGGCAGGCAATCGGCTTGGGGCGAATACCAACGAGTTGAGGTAGAGCAATCCCTCCTCAACAGTAGCAGGTGCCGGTAGACACTGTCGTCACTGCCCAACTTCGTTCGCACATGCTTCAGCTTTCTTGCGCAGTGCCACCGGAATGGTGCTCGATGTACTAAGCTTCAGACGCACATCGTCAAGCTTTCGTGAGCTCTTACACGTCCTGACCCGGAATTCTTAACCCGTCACCTCCAAATTCCTTGTCTGAAGTCCGTCTACCATGGATATCTGAGTCATCATGCCGGTTCGCTGATGTTTCACAGTTGCCTACCACGCCTAAACCCTAAACCCTAAACCTTAAACCCTTGCGCACATGAAGAGCAATTTGGCGGCGTCTTGGGTACAAAACCTCGCTGTTGCAAAGGATACGGGATCGTTGCTGTGGCATTTCAGGGCAAGAACACTCGAATCTGCGGAGCTTGATCCTGGCAGGACCGCCGTTGCCAATGTCCTGGGGGCAGTGCTGTCACGGCGCAGTGTGCTGGGGACCCGGTTGAACTGTGGATTCGAAGTGTAACCCCTTACCCCAAACACAGCTCTTCCCAAACCTGAGAAGCCGAAACCTCAAGTCGGCAAGACCGCCTCTGTTATGTCATTATGGCCACCACCAAAACCTTCTGCACGCCATCGCCCTCAATGCCCCGAAAAATGAACAGAAAAGGGGGAAAAGGGAGTCCAGCCTCTGCCTAAACCCTAAACCCCAAACCCTAAAATGAGGCAGCTCTGACATCACTGATGTTGCTCTTTCGGGGCCAGTCGAAGGCCTGGTTCTCGCGCGTTCAAGGTGTTGCCTTCGGAAATATGCGATGTCGGTTGTCAGCTCGAGGATTTCTAAGAGTGACTTCAACTGTGGCAGTGGGAAGGCTGCTACCTGTACTAGGTTACTGGGAGCAACTACTGCAATGGAGGGGCTCCGCACATGGCAGCGACATGGCCGCGGAAGCCAAATCCAGAACAGGTAACTGCGCCAGGCTTGAAAACGCGAGCCACTCTGATCAGGAACATGACATAAATCGAAGGCGAGCGTCAACAGGTTTAGGGACTTGGCACTTGGTTGCAAAGCTCGGGCTAGAGTACTTTTACTAGATTACTAGATCCGTACATCGGATATCTTTGAACTTGCGACAGTTCACGCATTACCCTGCTTCCACTTCGTGCCTAAGCCTAGGCTTGCCATAAGCCGAGTTCTTTCTGAGATCACGCCCGAGTTGTGTACTTCTGTTCTAAGCCAACAACAGCCGACGTGCTTGGCCTCCTCAATAGTCCACAGCTTTTGCATCCTCTGCGGCGCTCTAATCCGCACTCCTCTCAGGTCTTTCCCCAAAACCAGGGTTTAGGGTTTAGGGTTTAGTATGCATGAGAAATATCTGCAGTCATCTAGATTGGATTTAGGTCCAACTGTATCGACTCGGACAAGTATTGCCAAGTCCCACTCTTGCTCCTCTTCGGCTGAAAAGCCCTCAGACAGCCTTATCTTGCTTGACCCGAAGGCCCTACAGCCTTAACCCTAAAGCCCCAGACTTTAATTTCCCCTAAACCTTAAACCCTAAACCCTAAACCTTAAACTCTAAACCTTAAACCCTAAACCAGACGCCCGAATCGTCTCCAAAGCTCAAGAGAACCCCGCAGGCCAGAAGTCTGCGAGTCCAGCAGAACGCGCAAGACGCGGCAGAGGCGGGGATGCTCCGATGGGCAAAGTTGGCAGCTCCATTCGAACAGCACTTTTCAAAAAATGCAGTCAGCGTCATGACCAATTCTAGCCATAATTTCCGGGCGAGTATTGGTATTTAGAAGAGCATGTCCTTGGCTTGGGGTTCGAAGCCTAGTCCGAGCTTGTTGGGCGGTTAGCAGTTGGGGTGGAGATACGTGGTTTGAGGCTATGGTCCCCTCAACAGTCTGGAGCTGTCCTGCTTCCTTTGGGGTTTAGGGTTTAGGGACGTGCGTGCTGCAAGATGGCATGCGTTTTCAGGTTCTGCCGCTGGATAGAGACACGGATTTCAGAGCCTGAATCTGGGATGATTGCACCGTTGTCGCTCCCTGTCCCCAAGCGTAGGAACGTGAGAACCTCCTGGTGCCTGAAGTTTGAAGGAGCCTTGGCTGCGCTGGCCCGCTTTCCGGTCTGCGCTCTTGCAGCTCCGGGTGGTCAGCCAGGCACAGCTCCGACGATTTCAGGGTTCACACCGGACCTGTCGTTCTGACGCGGTTTTTGGAGTGCTTCATTGCGCGACGGCAATGGCAACCTGCTGTGCAGATGTCATGCTTCGCTCGGTGGTGCTGTTAGCGTGGTCTTTAGCCCGGCTTGTAACAGGCAAGTCACTTGTACAAGTGGCTCGGAGAAGCGGATCTGGCCGATGCCTGCTGCCAGTGTGGCCTGCAGCCCCTTGGCAAAGCCTGCGGGGTGACAGCAAGTCGAAGAGCACCGCCCCTGTCCCCTGAGAGGTTGATTTCGCAGAGGCTTTGTGGAGACCATCGTTGGAAGCTGCGGTTCCTATGCATGCGAGCAAGGCGCTTTTCGTGGCAACTTCTCAGACCCTCTCAAGCCCTTCTCCGTGCTCGGCTCATCGCAGGTCTGCCATGGCTCAATCAAATCGTTTGCCCGACATGGCCGGCTTCAAGGTGGGGCTCAGGGCTGCCGGGGCCGCAGCTTCTGACTCCAAAGCTTCCCGGCGAGGAGGTGAAGGTGCCGGAACTGGAGAGGCTGCTCGCAGAGATCGACACGCTCTGGAACGGGAAGTGCCTTGTTGCACTGGGATCCAAGTGCTGGCTATCAGTCCGCGGGGTCATGTTGAGCCTTGGCCCTGCCGGCCCAGCTAGGTTCTGTAATGCGGTTGATGATATAAATCCTGCATTACCCATATTAAGGAATATACCATAATTCCCCTAAGCTATTTCGGGTCCTTAAGGTAATGCAGTCGCCCTTCCTGAAACCTCAAATCATCTCAAAGCCACAGGATGCAGGTGTCTGCAAAGATGGGCGCCGAGGAGGCACACTAGAAGGGTAGAGGGGTTGGGGTTGTACGGTTTGGGGGGTCTTGGTGTCAAGGTTTGGATCTGTTGGATGTTGAGTTTTCCAGAGTTTGCAGGGTACTTTATTGGCTGCCTTTTTAACATCTCAGGCGCCGGCCAAGTGGGCGTAGCGTGGATTCCTTCATAGAATCATACTTCTTAGTTGCTCGTAAGATGCTTCACTTGCATAGAGCTCCCCTGTAGAACTAAAGCTCTAAAACCCTTCTAGAGCTTCTCCAAAGAGCCTTTGTAGGACCACCTTGAAGCATCCCCGGCATCTTCAAGACACGCCGAGCCTCCAGAGGCTGCGCCGCCCTGGGAATGCCTGGCGGCTGGGGCTCCGAAGTAGGTTTCGGGTTTTGGCAGGTGAAAAAGGGCATCTAGAAGCGTGTGAAAGGGATCTATAGGTTCCGAAAGGGGGTCTATGAGGGATCTACCAGGGGTCTATAAGAGATCTATATATGGATTCTGCAAGAGTTCTGTGAGGAACCAGAAAGGATCAAAAAGGGTTCTATAGCGGATGAGAGTTCTACAAGGGTTCGACAAGGATTCCATGGGGACCTGACGTTAAGAGGGATCTATCAGGGTTCTCTACAAGATTCAAAACGGTTCTAGAAGGGGTCCAACAGGGTTCTACAAGGGACCTGTATGGGTGCTACGAGGTGCAGATTGTGTGCTTAAGGAATCGTCCAGATATTCTTCTGGCATCGCCTATTGACAGCTCCATGTTACAGGTTGTTCCGCACGTTAAGCAGAGTCACGTAAGTTTCAGAAACCCATGCAAACAAACTGTTCGACAAATCTTGACGGCGGCTATCAGTGAATGGCCCTGAGCCACAGCCCGGTCTGATCTGCAGAGGACAAGACCATGCGCGTTGATTCGATCTGCAAGTTTAGGGTTGAGGGTTTAGGGTTTAGGGTTTACAAAACAGTGATGCGAGCATACCTCCGATGTCAACCCTCCGAGTCCCTCCTCTAACAAGCCGTGAACCCTGAACTGTAAACCCGAAACTACAACACCCTAAGCCCTAATTCCCAAACCCAAACTCTGAAAACCCTGAGCCCCAAAGCTTAAACCCTAAAAATCTTAACCTTGAGCTCCAAATCCTAAAACCAAGTCCGTAAATCCTTAAACCGCAGATGGGAGGCGATGGCCAGTAGGAAGCTAAGCCCATGGAAGTATGAAGACCGAACCGACCCAAGTCCTGCAAAGTACCCGAAATGCCAACCTTCGAAAACTCAGGAGTTGTGGGCTGAGGCACGGCAGGGGCAGGGCAGGGGAAAGGGCAGGCGTGGATTTGGGATGTTTTGTTTGTGCTTCGGCTGTTGTCTTTGGTTTCCCAGCCCAATCGGACGATAAACTTTCTCTTGCTGCCATGTTAGTCGATCTCAGAGTCATGTGATGGTTATGTCGCAATGTGGGACGTAGTTTTCTCTCCTGCTCCAGGCTGGAACCATGGATGGCTCTTCTTGGCGGGGCTTTCCGGAATTCGGTCGCTCTTGGAAGCTTCGGCTGACGGCGCTCGCGGCACAGCGTCGAAGGTGTCCAGAAGCTTGGGCAGCGCACATTGACGGGCTGCTATCTTGGATGCGCACAATGCCTGACAAGCCACTGCCTCAATTGGGCCAGATGCTGCTGACAGTGGCACAAGTTTTCTTCGACGAGGCGGTCGAGGGTGGGCACAACTCAATTGACGCCGGCGCCTGCGATGAACTGCTGGCCGTGCTGTCGTCTTGCAAGCGGGAACTCGTTCGCAGCGAGAGCTGTCCGTTGCTGCAGCCTCACCAAGAAGAGGCTGTTGTCGCCGCTGCCAAGGCTGGAGCCGTTCCAGAGAGACGGGCTCTGTTCATGGATGCACACGTTGGTCTGCCTGCCGTAAGCCGTGCATCCGTAAAGGATGGCTCGTCCTCGTCGGCGAAGCTCGTGGCAGTCTTCTACCTGGTCGCCGGTGCCTTTCGAGGACACCGGGCTTCCGGGCGCAATGTCCAAGGAATGCTTGTAGCCACAGTTGCTTCGAGATGTTCACCCCTGATGAGATGCTCTCGTGGCGGGTGACAGCATGACTCTCCGGGCTTCAGCGCAGCTCCTCCTGCGGGCAGCAGAGGCTTCTAGATAGTTTGAGCCTTGCCAGTGCTAGGCCCCCAGTCCTGCGACCGGCCAGGCTTCGAAGAGCAAGGCAGCTGCTGTCCAAAAAGACGAGAAGGCGTCAGGGGCGCTGAGCTTGTACGTCGCATTTATCCTGTCTATTCGTTTGTGGTGGTAGCCCCAAGAGCGAATGAGACGTTGTGGCTATCAGCATGTCTTGCAAGGGCAGATGCTGGGAAGGCCATCCATCTCTGGTCTGCTTGCGCAGGCAGTTTGCTGTTGCTCCCAGCCAGGTGCCAAGCAGGGGCAACTGCCGGAGCCGCTCACGTAGCCCTCGGCGTGACATGCCCGGCGGTGTCTTGAGTTCTTCGTGGACTCGAGAGTACTGGTCCCTGTGCAAGCAGGCAGATTCAGCTACGTGAGAGTTCACGGTGATACTTATTGATGTGTTCACTGGTGTCAGGGAAATTAAAAGTAGTAGTGATCATAGTAACACAAATATTTTGTGCCAAGTTTGGGTGAGAGGGGAACAGCACCGAAGGTTCGACCAGGAGCTGTCAGACTCTGTCAGAGCTCGCACAGTCCAGACGTCTGCTGTAGCGACTGCAGTTCAGGGTTCAAAGTTAGGGTTCAGGGCATTTAGGGGTTTAGGGGTTTAGCGTGCCGTAGCCGAATGATGGGCAGGTCGTTCCGCTGTGCTCGGCTGTGTCTCTCCTCTTCCTCACGGAGCTTCGCTCCATGCAGCGGGTTGTGGAATCGCTCGGCGATGCTAGACCCTTGGATAATTCTGAGGCTTCAAATCTTGTTCTGTACCTGAGTGATTACGAAGACTGAGGCACCTCCAGGTATTCGAGGTAGCCAATGAATGAGAGTCAGAGTTCTGGTTCTTGCCCTGGTGTGGACTAGACTTCCGTTCTCACAACCGCCCATGCAAGCACCCTAAACCCTAAGCCCGAAGCTCACTTTGCAGGAATGATGCAGTACTTCTTCAGCGAGCCGCACAAGGAGCTGCAGCCCTCCGTCGCGGTGGCGAAGCTCTCGTCCGGTGAGTGGCTGAAGGAGGTGGGAGTTTCAAAACATGGGGGGACCCTACTATAGATATCTACAGATGCCTAGAAGAAGAGGGTCCTTCATTCTGGCGACCGCTGAGAAAGGTAACCCAACTTTCTGAAACTCCGAGGTGAGGGCCGACCTCTCCCTTGCCTGGCTGCAGGCGGGACTATTATTATTATTATTATTACTATCATTACGATTATTACTATTATTGCTACTATTATTATTATTACAAGCCCTTTGGGCAACAAGCCCTTGCTTGAAGCAACCGCAGCATGTGCCAAGTCTTGTAGCCAGTTCGAAGACTTGACGGCAGATGAAGATGCAGGAGCAAATCCTGAGTGACACCCAGTATTTGAAAGCCACGGGGCCGTTTCTACTTCAATGTGTTGACTATCACCACCACCACCATCATCATCATCATCATCGTCATCATACACCACCATCATCATCATCACCACCACCATCACTGCTCCGCAGCCGCCATAGCTGTCATCGTCATCGTATCGTAGCCATCATGTTCCGTTTTTATCGCCACCAGCGTCATCAGTATCATTGCCTGATATCGGGAAGCATCCAACGGAAGCTGTCAAGTTCTACGACGGTTCATGTGATGCATTTTGTTATCTTCGCTGGTTCAGAAACTACCGAGGTGGACTGGCAGGGGCCCCTGCTCCGGATCACGCGTTCGCTGGACAGCGGTCTCGGGCCGGCCAGTCACTCGCAGCTCGTGTCCCAGCAGGTCCGAAACTTACTGGCTTGTTGTCGTGGTCGTGGCATTGCAATACCGTCATCGTTGTCGTCGTAGTAGCAGCAGGGACCTCGGATTACTACGGGAGGCAGTATCGGTAGTCTTTCTCGTGGCGCTGGCAAGAGCAGCACGGATCACCAACGAGAGCCGTCGCATGAACTGGAAGGATAAGCACACTACAATTGGTGGTTTCATTCGGTTGTACAAAGGATGACGAAGTTTGACAGTGTGAGAAGTCAACAGCAGAACGAGACCACTACTGTATTTGCAGCAGGATACCTCTTATTAGGGAGACTGCACGACAGCAGAACAAGCACAAGACAAAAACAGCAGCGCCACGTAGCAGAACCAACAGCAACAGCTCGACAGCAATGGCAGCATCATCAACGCAAGCGCAACGACAACACCATCAGCAACCGGGGCAGCAGAATCACAAGGTCAACGCATTTTTGAGCTGGTCGCTGCTTGTTGTGCACAAGCATTCGTGCGATTGGAGGTGTTCAGCTTATTGGGTTGTGGGATTGCTTAGTTTTGAGCCTGATGCCCAAATCTGGAGTTGCAATCAAATGCTCAGTCTGGGCCAAATCCTGCACAGTTGCATTGCAGGTTCTTCTTCCACACGGTCTGCTCCCGTGCCTGCAGGACAAACATCTGCCAATAGTGAAGTAGGGCATTTTGGAGCACGGGTGCCCTAAACTCCGAAACCCTACTAGTTAGTAATAGTAATAGCAACAAGAATACCTTAGTAATAGCAATAGCAACGGTAATGGCCATAGCAATAGTAATGCTAACAATCATTGTAATAGCAACTATTATATTATACTATATTATATTATATTATATTATATTATATTATATTATATTATATTATATTATAACAATCATTGTAATAGGAGCTCCGTAGTCCCAGGAGGAGCTCCGTAGTCTCCATGCGCTCAACGGCCAAAAGATCCGCGAGCTTTGGCAGAGGGACGACAAGGGCACCGAGGCAAGGACGCGTGGGGGAACGAATCGTTTAAGCTGCGCCGTACAGGGTTCTTCCTGGGTTATGGTTTAGGGTTTAGGGATTAGGGGCTTTGTAATCTGGGGTTTAGTGTCTTATTTCAGGCTTTGGGACTGAGGTTTACGGACTTCGGTGCTTAAGGCTGTAGGATAGGTGCGTGCAAGCATAGTAACAGTAGTAGTAGTAGTACGAGTAGTAGGAGTAGTAGGAGTAGTAGGAGCAGTAGCAGAAGCAGGATGAGTAGTAGCAGTTGTTGTTGCTGGTGGGGGTGGTAGGGTGGTCTTATCGGCAGTGGTGGTGGGGGTGGTGGTGGTGGTGATTGTGGTCGCGGTTGTGGCGCCACCTATTAAGTTCGTACATGACGTCAGCGATGAGGATTGTCGGCATCATGTCGAGTATCAGCTGGTGGCCAAGCCACTCTTATCATTTCTGCTGTTGGTACTATCGTCTTACCTCCAGATAGCTGTATAGCCTAGGTTAAGCCCACTCAGTATAGTTGGGGTACAATGGCAATACGGAGGTATCAGAATATAATTCTCATCGCTTTAGGTCACCAGCAGTATTTTGGGGGCCAACCTAATACAGAACCCCATCAGGCATGCGCGGTTCTTGTGTATGTTGTTGTTCCTGTTTTTGTCTGCCTATTGCGTTGTTTGTCACTTTTCTGGTATTGCTATTTTTGTACATGGTAGGGGCAGAGGAGCGGAGTTGATTGGCCTTGTTTGTGTGTAGTAGCCAGCAGTGACTCACAGCAAGTCATGACATCGAAATGCTGCATCGTGGGCAGGTTGTTCGAAGCCGCATGACCGACAGGGAATTGCATTGGGTTTGGAGCAAGGGAATAATTCGGATCAATCCCTCTGCTTTCTTCGAGGCTGTCCGGCGTGAGTTCTGGAACAGCCGCAAACGCTTCGACGCCGAGCTAGGGCGGGTGGCGGAGAAGGTGGAGCAGGCACACCGAAGCCCGAGCTCCGAGAGCCCAAACTCCTAAACCCTACACCCCGAAATCCTAAACCCCAAACCCCGAATCTGCAACACAAATATTTGCGTCGGTTTTGTTCGGTGTCTTGTTCATTGGCTTGTTGTGATTATGCTACTTCTGGATGTGGCTGTCATTGCTATGATTCTTGTCGTTCTCTGCTTTATTGTGGTTTATTGGACCCGAGGGGCCCGAGGACAAAACGCAGCCAACACACTTTCGAGCCAGGCTCCATGCAAAGACAGATAGCTGCTACAGTGCTACAGCTGATACTGTCATGACAGCAACGCTAATAGAAACAGGGATTTCCACCAGAATCTCGTTTACGTGGCATGGTCTGAGGTATCTAAAGTTTAGTGTGTGGGCCTGTGCCTTCTTGCGTTCCACTATTACGGCCTGAGAATGCTTTGCTTCCGGTCGTGCACATCGACTGCCGTTGTTACTGTTCTCTATCCAAGGAATTGACAGAAGCCGCAAATTCCGCCCCGATAGTCCCCCGCCCACGCAGCCTTCTAGTACCCTCTTATAGTACCCTTATGGTAGTATCTCTCATCGGAAACCCCTTACAGAAACGAACCCTCTTAAGCCGCGAGCCCGGAAGTCGCAGGAGATCTTGGGTCCCTGGCGATTTTTGCTCGCCCCGTGGCCGCAGACGGATCGGGCCCAGCAGACTCTCCTGGCGCACCTGGATGCTTGGGTCGAGGAGACGGGCCATGGTAAGCCGGGGGGTTTAAGGTGGTTATGATCCGAGGGTTTCTGTGTTTAGGACTGCCAGATTTTGGTTTTGTGTCCCAGGGCCCTTGCCACCTTTCAACACCAGCCATCAAGGCTTGACGTCTCGAAGCCCGGGATCTTCGAGCGTAAACACTTTGCATCGTGCTGCCGCAGAAGTTGATTCTGCCGAAAGTAACCGTACCCTTTCTTGCAGCCCTTCAAGCACAGTAAACCGAGCAGGAGGCAACATCCGCCAGCCACCGAACGCTGCGGAGTGCGCAAGACGGACAACAGCCGTCACTGCGGCCTGAGGACAAACTGCTGGGCTTCTGCCGTTTGACTCGGGGTTTGGATTGTGGGGCTTGGGGCTTGGGCTAGGCTTCAAGAGTTTTGGGATGACAGTTTCATGTTTCTCACTCGTCAGGAAGCATCGAATTCACATCGGTCTGCTTCTTCTTCCGCTACTTACGGCTATAACACGGTCACAACCACCATCGGACCATCATCACCGGTGTTGATCTGTCCAATGTTGTCGTTTCGCAAGCAACTGCTGCCGAAATCCTGGCGACTGTCATTGCTATTCCTGGATTCCTACTCACCCTAAATCCTAAACCCTAAACCGTTCCTAAACCCTAAGACTTCAAAAAAGCTTTTTAACCCTAAACCCGAAGCCCTAAGCCCCAGTGCCTCAGATGCGAGCCTCAAAGCCGTAAACCCCAACCTCTTCCTGTGGGTAGTTCTCTAAATCTTTTAGGGTTTTGGGTTTAGGGTTTAATCAGGGTGATAAGAGCTACCAATGTCTCAGGCTCGAGAGTTCTAGGCTGAAGTGTTTCAGGGCTGCGAGACTACGGATTTGGCGGGTTTCGATCTCTGGGGGCTGTGGCCTTCTAAAGGGGCTTTTTGGTTTTGGGCTTGAGAGCTCTACGTTCTCAGCGATTGGTTTTAGATGGTATGGCTATCCAAAATTCTAGAACTTCAGGGTTTGAGGAGGAGAAGGCTTGCAGGCAGTACCCGTAACAAGGTTCAGTCCGCTCCAGCCCCAAACCGGGGGAAAAGGGAAAGCATGCCAAACCGGCTATGATGGGTTCAGGATTTAAGGGTTTGATTGGTGCAGGATTTCAGGGTTTAAGGCTCGAGGTTGCGCGAGTTCAATCTGCGGAGTGCAGGGTTCGACCTTCGCAGGTTGTAGTTTTAATATGATATAAGACAGTCTTATATAGCATAATATAGTATAAGATGATACGATAGAATAGAACAGTATCTAGTGTAAAATAAGTTGGTATTTGTTCAACCCTTGCATGTTTCGGTTGGAGCGATTGAGGCCTAAAAGCCCTTAACTCTCAAGCCTTAACGCCAAAACTCAAAGTACACAAACCTTGGGTTTAGGGTTTAGGGTTCTAAAGTTTAAAGGCCTGACCGCAAGTTGCAGATGCAAAGCCCCTAGGCCCTAAACCCTAAAGCCT